AGATGTACAAAAGAGGGAGTGAGAGAGGGAGAGAAGGAGGAGAGGGAGGTCAGGAGGAAGGGAGAGAGAGAGGGAGGGAGGAAGGGAGGGAGAGAGAGAGAGAGAGAGAGAGAGAGAGAGAGAGAGAGAGAGAGAGATAAGATGAGTCGAGGGCTGTTGTGCATGTGCAGCGACACGTGTTCGCCTGCTGATTCTAACCCTCAAGATCTATACAGACACTCTCTAAGTGCGTGCACACGTGCGCGAACGACTTCAAATGAAGTCCAAATGAAAACCGAACGTCATTAGTTCAGGCTACACATCGCATACGAGAGGCAGCGAAGCCGAAGAAACGTATAAGCCGATAACTGGAAGACTTCATGCGAACATAAATGGTCGCACGTAAAGATTTTTGTAGTTCTGAAAGGATCTTACGCAGACGTAACGTACTTTTTACGTCCTTATAAAGCTCATTTTACTGCGCTTTAACTCTCTACTCGTGATTTTCATGTCGAAGACGGCACCACGAAAAGTGCCTAAAGTTGTAAAAAAAAAAAACACTCCCAAGTGAGGCCAAATCCAACGCTTCCTCTTGAAATTTTACGTGATCGCAATCGCTCGTAAAGTAAACATTGAACATGAATTCTCTATCGTTGCGTGTAGTTGTGTGCGACGCGGGTATATAACCGCGTACGTAGCTCCTGCATATAAGTCGAAAAACCCAGCCGGTTCCGATTTAAAAAAAAAGATTTATACTATACGACCTATAGTAAAGCCCCCAAAAATTTACCAGCCTCGCTCAAAAGATGGCATGCAGTGCCGGACCCGGTGGGGACGACGAGCTGCTATTTCTAACGCTGTCGTACGGCACATGCAAAGAACCGCAATACGTCAGCGCGCACACGCACGCGCGAGGCTTCCTGCGTCGTGAGACATCAATAAGAAACGGTCGAAATCGGGCCGATCGACGTACGTGTCACGAGATTACTCCCGCGCTGCGCCGACGGAACACACATGCGCACACACACACGCACGCACGCACGCACGCACGCACGCACACACACACACACACACACACACACACACACGGCCCCGCGCGGCAACAAGCCACGCAGGCATGACTAATGCAATCAAGAGTATTTGCGCATGCAATACCGCCATTATTTCGCACTCGATCAATATGGAAATCGGAGGGGGACAATATAGCAATACGCCGCAGGCGCTCGCACATATAATATATATATATATATATATAATATATAAAATATATATATATATATATATATATAGAGAGAGAGAGAGAGGAGAGAGAGAGAGAGAGAGAGAAATAGATAGTGCGATGAGCGGCTCTTGCTTGCTCCCCTATGCCTGCTAGCATTCCTTTGCACCAGCCCCCACTGGTGGCCACAGCTCGTAGCGGCGTTGGGCCCTAGCCTCTTCCCTAGCCTCTAGTTGTTCTTGCTAATGGTACATCCCGCCTCCTCCACATCTATATAACCACACAGCCCACATCCTGTGATACCTCCCCCCCTCCTCCATAAATCTCCACATACCCACGTATACTATACGCTGTTGTGTCTCCCGTCTCCTCCTCAAATCCCCCTCTACAAACCCAGACATCTTGCACCATGTAGTGCCTCTAACTTCCTCCTCAAATCCCCTTCTATAAACCCACACGTCCAACCACCCTGTGGTACCTCTCACCTCCTCCCTGCATCCATTCCGACATGACCCCCTAAGCTAAACTCTACCCCCGCTCCGTGAAAACCCGTTCTGCTCTCCCCCTCAACCCCTTCCCCCCCCCCCGCAAACATAATATAGTTGCTTACATTTAATTAGGAGAGCGCGTGGGAAGCACCTTCGCTGCTGCCGCGCGTGAGTCATGCTCACACTATCGGCTGCTTGCATGAGGCGGTTGCTGTGCTGTTAATTTTCATCACGGCAATCACGCGAACGCTACTTAAAACTTGACGATAACGCGACGATGATAACGTATCGTAACACGTGCACCGATCGCAGACGCTCCGCCGTTAACCTACGAGAGGCTGTGTGTGTGTGTGTGTGTGGGGGGGGGGTACGGTTATTTTCGGGACGCGGGATTGGTTCTTCTTTTAATTAAAAATTATCTGCGAAACGGGAAATAGTTCAAATACCCTAATGCATTTTTCTTGAATAGAAGTCAAAGGAAGCTGGGAATTGTGATTTTAAGTATTATTGGATACTGGAAACTGTGGAAGCGTGTATATTTTTTACCTGGGAAGCTGGGAATGTTCTGCCTCTTTTCGCCCCCCTCCCACCTTCAGTTACGTGTTACGCCATCTAGCTGTGAGATGAATAGCCTGTCTGGAGCAACGGCAGCTGTGACATCACTAACCGATTAAAATGTCTGCGTAAATATTTTTAGAAGTAGCGTGACGTTATGCAGACAGCGTAGACTCGATAACACCAAATTATCAATTACAGTGCGCTTGTCATGATACGCACCTAGTAATGTACTCGTACCATTTCAGATACATTTTTAATTTTATTTTTTTAATTGTGATAATTATGTGCTAATATTCTATATATCCGTACGGCCGCCTCTATTGCTAGTTCTATTTACAATGATGCATTTTTACTATGACTTCTGAGATTTATTCTCTTTCTGATAACTATAAGTATAACAACGTGTATACACGTGTATTTAATATAAGTAAATTCATAGAAAACCTACATATCACCCATTTAGCACTGTCTTACATCGATGTTACTGGTACATTTACTCTGCCTGAACGTTTCTTCATACAGAACACGTATATATCATAGCTAATAAATATAAAATATCTACTGGTGCAACTTTTCATCGCGATACGAGATGCACGATGCGATTTGTGATACAACTTCACAAAAGCATCAATAGATCACAACACGCCAACCAAACCTGGTCTAAACTCATGATAACCGTTCATTCGATGCCTTCGTCAGGTTGTCAAAATCTTGGTCTTGTGCACCGTGCAAGTTTTTGCGTGTTAAAAGGAGCACGCTGATTTGACAATCTCAACTTTATTGCTACATTTGCTACGGATTTGAGTCACACAGAACGCATATCACCAAGGTGGTTAGTTACTCATATTACATTTATCGGAAATCTTCGACATATATGAATAAACAAACAGCTAAGAACGGGGTGGTACTTACATCAACGTTGTTGGTTCTAACAAGCGATGCCACATCGTCAATCGTTGTCAACATCAACATCGCCCTCTGGTGGTCAGCTCTGTGACAGCTGCCTGTAGACTTGTCGCGACAGCATGCTGGCGGGGGCGCTCTCACAATCACCTCCATTGTTGCGGTGATCTCTCGCCAATGGCACTAGTTCTGTTCTACGCCGCTAGGTGGCGCTATACCGGCCGACTGCTATCGTCGGTGTGAGCTGCCTGGAAAGTTCCTAATGCTGAATTCACTGTGTGAATCTTCCACTTTTTGAGAAGTGGGTCGTAGCGGGGCAGTCACTGAGAGCACGCTGTGCATAACAGCTATTGCTCTCGCTCTCTTTATCTCTATCTGCCCTCCTTTCTCTCTGTGTCTCGAAGTCGCTGTGTCTCTAAGCGTATAAGTCTCTTTGCGTGTCTCTAACTGTCTAAGTCTATGTCTATAAGTGTCTACTTGCTAGGAGCAACCTGAAAAACAGAAAATGACGACATTGGACAATGCAGTGGCGTCCTCTACGTGGCATGTAGACCATGGCAGCCCAACGCCCCCCGCAGAGCCCTGGTGACCAGTTCATGGTGCAAATAACGACAACTCACGGTGTGTAAGCAGTTGCACCACCTTCCATGACCTTCGGTCTGGCTCTACACGGAACAGTGACAAATCTTTGCACTACGGCCGGCTACGCAGTAGGTACACTGCAAAAATGACTCCAGCCGCCAAGATAAACATGTTGGCTTTTAAACCGCCATTCGATATTCAAATTTAGTTCACTTTAATTCGCCCGAATTGAGTTTAGCGAACGCAAACAATCATCACACGACCAGAATTCGCAGCCATATATTAACATTGAAATAGTGGCATAGAAGTATATAGTGAGATAAGATTTGTCAAGTGCTGGATTCCCGCATAGTTTTTCGTATAAATTTTCGACTACATAGGTAGAGCTAGTCCTGTAGTAGAGCGAAGGACTATGTACATAGGTAGAGCTAGTCCTGTAGTAGAGCGAAGGACTATGTACATAGGTAGAGCTAGTCCTGTAGTAGAGCGAAGGACTATGTACATAGGTAGAGCTAGTCCTGTAGTAGAGCGAAGGACTATGTACATAGGTAGAGCTAGCCCTGTAGTAGAGCAAAGGACTATGTACATAGGTAGAGCTAGTCCTGTAGTAGAGCAAAGGACTATGTACATAGGTAGAGCTAGTCCTGTAGTAGAGCGAAGGACTATGTACATAGGTAGAGCTAGTCCTGTAGTAGAGCGAAGGACTATGTACATAGGTAGAGCTAGTCCTGTAGTAGAGTGAAGGACTATGTACATAGGTAGAGCTAGTCCTGTAGTAGAGCAAAGGACTATGTACATAGGTAGAGCTAGTCCTGTAGTAGAGCGAAGGACTATGTACATAGGTAGAGCTAGTCCTGTAGTAGAGCGAAGGACTACGTACATAGGTAGGGCTAGTCCTGTAGTAGAGCGAATGACTATGTACATAGGTAGGGCTAGTCCTGTAGTAGAGTGAAGGACTACGCAGGTACGGCCATGGTGTTAGAGCAGGGAAAAAAATGTAATTTATTTTTCGGGGGCTACTTTTCAAGCTCGCGTGCATGAAAATAGCACTCTAAAATTTGGTTTGCATTGAACTCTATGCAAAATTACGGGGGCTCTTTTTGGCATTTCCGGGGCTCTTCTTGGCATTTCGGGGGCTAAATCGCCCCGAGCCCCCGTGTATTTTTTTCACTGTGTTAGAGTAGTAGCTACGAGCGAGTGCGGGGTACGCAGGTAAGCTGTGTAGCGACGACGCGAGCGTTTGCACGGATGCGCGCGACGACGCTTTTCATAACCCCGCGCGCAGCATTCACGACCGAACACTGCAGCCACCGTCGCCGCTGGCGACGACGCCGATGACGACGACGACGACGATGACGATAACGTGAATCAACCTGCCGCAGGTGAACCTTGCACTGCTCTACTGAGTACACGGCGATACGCACGATAAGACCAGCTGATAAGACCCGTCTATTACTGCCGATACGAGTGACGTCATCGCACTCGTAGACGCACGGAGACAGGTTGACATTTCTGTTTACTCGAAGAGATAGATGTCAACACGTAAAACTTTCCGTTTGCAACAGAGCAACGTTCGGTCCGGTATCCGGCGCGTTAGTTAGTGACAGTACTTAGCAAACGACTATAAGTAAAGTAAAAAAAACTGTAACTAAAGTGTCATGATGATAAAAAAAGCTGTAATTTCCCCCCAGGAAAACTTGCAGGATTTGTGTTCACGAGGCCTAAAATATCGTGAAATCGATCAAGTATTTATGGAATGTTATTTTCATCGTGAATCTGCTGAGATAATCTCGCGTTTTCACTGCAATACGTGCTGCCTTCGTTGCTAGAAAAACAAAACGTCCCAATCTTCTATACACGTACGACTGTACGAGAACTACTCTCACTTATAGCTCTGCCTCAAGAACACAATATCGTCAATATGTAACTTTCAAACTCCACTGCGGCAAGATTTTAGAGGACAAGTCTGAATAGAAATAGAGAAAGAAAAAAAAACGCCCAGTCCTTACCTCCTACGCATATTCTAAGCGGTGCAGGTTGCTCTCTCCCTCTCTCTCTAGAGCTCTCTCTCTCTCGCTAGCGGACGAGCGGACGTGCGACTAGGCTAACAGCAGACTAAATGATCGCAGAGCCGTGTGGCTCGCGTAGCTAACACTGATGCGGAGGCTGAGGCGATGAGTCATCAAACACTGGTGCTGCTACTGCTGGCCTGTAAAGATAAACACGGTGCCAGATCAGCTGCTGTGACTGCATGCCTGCTGTTGCTGCTGCTGCTGCTGATGCTGATGGTGGTGGTGGTGCTGCTGCTGGTGCTGTTGGTGCTGCTGCTGGTGGTGCTGCTGCTGCTAGCTGCGCTGCTGCTGCTGTTGTTGTTGCTGGTGATGATGATGGTGGTGGTGGTGCTGCTACTGCCACTGCTGCCATAGGATTATGCTAGCCTCCAGCTAGTTTCTCTTTCTACATCTTTCAAACACGTGTGCACCTCGTGTGGCCAAATCTAGACGGCAAGTTTAATTATCGCGCAAACACTAAAATAACACGGTTTTTATTAGAAATACCTACTAGATACAGTCGAAATAACACATTGTTAATAAGTATCACTTAAGTATTTTTCTGCACGCTTGTTTTTCTAGATAATAGGTATATATTGGTGATATAATACACTTAAATGCATTTCTCTCGATTATTTTTCTACATAATAGCCAAATATAGGAAAAATCATATAATCAAGTACATTGCATTTTGCATTTTTCCCATTTGCACTTTTAGTTTTAGGATGACAAAATTCACCGTTTTTTATATTTCGGCGAGAACGTGTGACCCGACGAAACATGAATACAGGGTAACGAGTTCAACAAGAGCACAGTGCCTGCATGCTGCGACGCCCCGTATGCCTTTTTCATTCCGACCCAGAATTTACACATGCAAAGATATATGGATAGATCAAATTTATAGATTGATAGAGAGAATTACTGTTAGTTATAGAACGTTAGGAAAAGAAAAGAAAAAATAACAATAACCATAATAAATAGATGCAATAAAAGTACAATTAAATGTAATAAACGTAACGTAATTCCGTTGCAATTTACATTTAAAATGTGGGTCTGAGACTAGAACACATCTATCTAGAAGTGCTGACCGCTTGAAATATAATGGACTCGAACTGGACAGTACAAGGCTCGACCGAACGCGGAAGTTGTTTTACAATCAGTGATGTCGTGCGAGTATAGAGCAATGAGCAACCATTGTGAGAGTGAGCGACCAGTAGTGGGGATTCAAACACATGTCGCGGGATTCAGCTACAGACTAGTGCGGCGTCTGACATGATAGCAGTGACTAATAATAGAGCTATTATGAAGTGAATAATCTATTATTACTCACTCCTGATATTAAACGTCAATCTGAGACACATTGTTACCTTTAAGGGGGGCTTATGTCGGGCTTGCTAGCCGACTCGACTGGAAGCAACTGAATTTCGAGCAACTGGAAGCGATCGGCAGCGACTAGTTGCGTCCAGTTGCTCACTGTTCTATTCCGAGAAACTAGTGGCGGCCAGTCGCAGGCAGTCGCGTCGCAGTCGACCGACCTACGCAGTGCAGTCGCAGTGAATTGCACCCAGTTGCTTCCAGTCGAGTCGGCTCGCAAGCCCGACATAAGCCCCCCTTAAAGAGGCATCCCTTACGTGCGCATCCCTTACGTTTGCTTGCAGATATGCTATCACAGACAGACAGACAGACACGCACGCACACGCGCACGCACACGCGCACACACACACACGCGCGCGCACACACACACACGCGCGCGCGCGCACACACAGCAGGTCCTAATTGCACTAGTGTTGGAAACAGCAGTCCATTCCCCCCGTTCGGGACAGGTAACCTTTGACTTTTTTCTGAATTTATAGATCTGGATTCTGGATCTATATATTTCTACTATAGATTACATAATATAAATAAAAAATTTCCGAAATCAGGACTGGCTGTGTTTTCACCTTTTTTAGATTTTCAAGATTAACTGCACGTTATAGAACCCGGCGATTCGCTCTATATTCCCCTTTGCAATGAGTACATTATATAGCAGGCGCTAGCCGACATACCGCACTCATCTATCTGCTCAGTCACAGTCATGCGACAGGACGCGCACGCCCTCTGATGAGTGCATTATTCCCGAACACATCACTGCACGATGCTGCATGACTCGAACTCACATCCTCCTGCGTGCGCCGCCGCCGCCGCCGCCGCCGCCGCCGCCGCCGCCGCCGTTCACCTGCACAGGTAGGTGGTAGGCACACTCATGTCACGCGTGCTTAATCAGCGCTCATTGCGCAGAACCGGAACGTACATACGCACACGCACGCACGCACACGCAGATTCGCACACACACGCGGGAGCACGCACGCACACACACACACGTGCGCACACGCGCGCACACACACATACACGTGCCCACACGCGCACACACAGATGCACGCACACATGCGGGCACACGCACACACGCGCACACACACACGCACGCACACACACGCGCACACACACGCACGCACGCACACGTACCGCCCTCTACTGTCGCTACCGACTAGTTCTGTCCAGTCATGCTTTCACAACAGGACGCGGGGAAGGTGCGTGTCGTAAGTCCCCTTAGTCACGATTCCGCGCAATGGCTCACGCTCGGGTGAGATTTCGTTCCGATGGCCCTTCGCAGCGAGCACAGGGAGCCGCCTCTACTGCCGTAACAGCAGATTATATCGAGTTTTTGTTTCGAATAAAAAAGATTTTAAAGATTTACGAGTTGGCTGCTTGCAGTCGGCACCTCCTAAATATATATTAACGGCCTAATGTGACACCAGACGCATGATGGATCAATATTATCAGAAGTAGATAATAGGCCTATTAATAGCCTATTATCTACTTCTGATATTATAATACTAAAATAGCGTGATGATGCCACGAGTAGACCATGAGTACATCGTGCTATGCATTGTAACGAGGATGTTGACGTTACCCGGTTCAAAGTAGATTAGTTGTAGCGATGAATAATTCTACAATAACAGAAACAATAACAGAATACAGAACTAATTAGGGTAGAGACATGCACAACAACTCCCTCTCAACCGTTTCGCATCTCCATCATCCATACTACATCAAACGCGCTGCCGCTGACTAACCCATTATGCAACCACTTGTCGCGACATTTCTAAACACAACTACTATTTCTACCATCTGCAAACCACACTTTACAGCATGAGGTTCATCGTGAGGAACATCATCACACGTAAAATCATCGTCATCACACAGAGAAATAAACGTCAGTTGAATATCATTCGACATAACTGAATTGAATTCGAATCGCGGCGTCATAAGTCATAACAGAAGACCGACCTAAAATGTTGTAACGGAAGACATAAATCTATAAAATCTATCCATATCAATCTAGACACGATTTCTAAATTAATTCTAGATTGATATGGATAGATTTCTAGATAGATTTCTAGATTTCTAGATTGATTCATGATTCTAGACACGATGCAGCCGAGATTTCTCTCAATATCAATCAATGCTCCGAAAAAAACCGCGTCTCAGTCTCAGAAATGAAAGTCCGAAAAGCCAGCCAATGTCTTTGATTTCAAAAACTCATCGCTACTGCATAACCTATAGTAGAATTCAGAAAAACTAGCCAGTCTATAGGTGCCTAAAAGTTACCAGTTCCGTACGGGGGGCGGGGCGGTCTGCTATTTCCAGCAGCGCTGTGGATCCACCGTTGTTCTACGCGTGACTACTAACGAGTTCCACCGACGTGCACGATAAAGATGTGTATCAAATGCGCGACCGGCAACATAGCTGTTACCTTGAAATAAAATACCTGCAATCAAGCAATCAGCTACCAACTTCGCAGTGCGGACCGCTACTGAGTGACATGCTTCGACTGTGAACAACCATGCAGCACATTATTATTATATATCGGCGTGCGCGTGCGTGTGTGCACACGTCTGTGTGATTGTGAGTGTGTGCCTATGAGCCAGTGCATTACTCATAGCCGTCTGAGCATTGCAACATCAACATCAATAACCGTACATACAATGGTCACACGCATGTACAATGGTCACATACAGCACACACACACACGCACGCGCACACACACGCGCCCACACACGCAGCACACACACACACACACACAGCACACACACACACACACCACAACAGCACACACACAACACACACACGCACACACACCACGCACACCACACACGCACCACGCACTGCACGCACGCAACGCACAGCACGCACGCGCACACACACAATGACACAGCCACTCTCATCCGCGTTAGGTCTATTAGAAGCGACATCCTTTCCCAACATTTCATTAACTAGGTCCACGCTCGACAGGACTGTAGCAACCCACGTCCAGCATTGACACAACACCCGCCTTTCTCGTTACACCACGCGCCACGCAAGACAAACACGTGACAATGACTAGGCGTTTTATGCCAAGGTACTCTCTCTTTTGTTTGCTCTGCAGTGCTATGCAGTCAAATTTCCCTACTCGGCAACTGGACTATGCAGCAACCGCCCCCCATTGAACAGTAAGGGCAAACCTGTGGCACACGCAGTAACAGTACTATACGCATATTAAAATACGAGCTGATTTATGCTGTCGATGCTTTCGCGTTATCCTAGGCTATTATCTATAATTGTTATATAAGTATATATAGTTTTTATCAAGATCAACATCAACTATTATCTACTCTCGTTTATAACATTTATTCGGGTGGCACCTATATCCTATATATCAAGAGCGTATTTAAAGAAGGTTAATTCCTTCTTAATACGCCTTTTGTATATGTGTGTGTGCGTGCGTGCGTGCGTGCTGCGTGCGTGCGTGCGTGCGTGCGTGCGTGTGTGTGTGAGAGAGAGAGAGAGAGAGAGAGAGAGAGAGAGAGAGAGAGAGAGAGAGAGAGAGAGAGAGAGAGAGAGAGAGACTGTTATACATGGTTATGGACAATCGAATATGTTATTGGTGTAAACCCCGGTTTTCGATTGCCACTAAAAAGAGGACATGTATACGAGATTCAATAAGATGTTCTATAGATTCTATGTCACTTTTTGTGCGTGTGCTGTGATCCTGCGTGCGTGCATGTGTGAGCGTATTTATTTCATATACGGTTGCACACGTTACACATTGTAATTGGGCTATAAGCATGTCACGTGCTAA